GGTTCGAGTTTCTTTGGCCGTTTCCGGCTTTGCTCCGGCGTATCTCAGCCTCTCGAGCCTGGATTCGACCTTGCTAGAACCATTCTCGAGACTTCCAAGCCTTCTCATCCTTTTGGAATCTCAGAAACCCTAGCCTAATCGAGGTTCCTTTTTCGCTTATTCGTCTAGATCTATGCTGTGTGTGCCATTTTAGAGTTTTTTCCCCAATTTTCCCTTTTCAAAACTGTTCGAATCCTGTTTTTAGGGTTTTCTAAATGTTTCTAATTCTTTTACTCTTTTTATGCGTGTTCATGCTCGTTGTTTTATTCCTTGTTATGTACAAGCCTGCTCTTGTGTTTCTTACTGGATCTTTTACGGAGATTCTTTTACCTCTTTTGTTCACATGTTAGCCTAGGTTATTGACTCGCTTTTGCTTATGTGTTTAAGCTCATGCTTTGATTTTGTTTCTGAGTTCTGTTGATCATGCTCTTGCCTACCTTCATCTTAAAATTCGTAATTTCCTCTTACTTCTGTTTGTGCATATCTGCCTATCTCTGTGACTTTGAACGAGTCCCTCACCTCCGTCTCCATGTGAAACCCTAAGATTTGGGGGGTTTTCTTTTCTTTGAAGTGAAAGACACTAGGGTTTCACTCTGAAACCCTAGGTTTACAGACTCATGACGAGTCTGTATTCGAACTTGTGAACTTATTTGCCTATGATTATGGAAAAAAATCTCATTGTTCTTCTTTGTTTTGAACTGCATGCTTATATATAAGCTTCCCTTTCAAAGTTTTATTTTCGAAATTCCTTTAATCACTATGAAATTCGTCACTAATTTCTCTTGATTGAACCTCTTTTACCTTACTGATGTTTTCCTTAAATAATTGATCCTGTATCTTCTCTGATTTCGTACCAACGTTTGAATTATTTACTTCATTAATTATCTCAGTCTCTTTGTGATTTACAACGGAGCCGAGATCCTTTGACTGATTTTTAAACTTATACCTTATTCTTACTACTGTGCCCTTTTTCCTTAAATATCCAATTGTGTATGTGACCTTATTTGTGCACCATATGGTCTCTTTACCTTAATTTAGCCTTAATAAGCTGATTCTCTCTTCCTTCTTAGTCGTCTGAACTAGACCCTTAATTAAAGGAGTCTGTCTACCCTAATTGATACTAATTTGATTAGTTTCTATATTTATACCTTTGTGCCTACCTCACCTGTTTTCAAAACTATATAAAGGGCTCAGCCTCCCTTTTCAAAAGGGCAGTAACAACGAGTAAGTAACAATCAAGTAATAATAGGCAATCTGCTTTCTACTCCCTTCTTCTCTCAAATACACAGACCAGTTCTGTGTACTTCTCCTCTTTGCTTTCTGAAATACCCTTTAAGCTCTCCTTGAATCTTCAAGTGTTCTGCTGAAAACCT